GTGATTTACAATCCCATCTCCTAAGAGACTTTGAGAAGCAGAACCAGGTGGTTCCACGGGGCCGGCACCTGTGGAAATGGGCATTTCTGCGGCTCCCTGGGGAAGGGCAGCTGGGCCTCTGATCCCGTGGCTCGGGGAGAAAAGGAAACTCTTCAATGAAGCCACAAGAGAGGGCAAGAAAGGACACCGGACTCAGTAACAAGAGCGGCACCTCCTCTGCCAACCTTCCGGGTCTACCCGTCTGGCCCCTGCACCCCAACCCTTGAAACCCCACGCTTCTCAGCACGTTTTGCTTTAACAATGGGCCTCCAAAAACACCCACTTCAGGGTCTATATTCTCGATGTCCAGTGGAGGAGAGGAAACTCCAGTGAGCACCATCCATCTGCTTTTAGACGATTTTCATGTTTTTCTTTCACAGTAACCCCATTAGGTCGGTATTGTGCTCACTTTCCTGTTGGAAAAAACCAAAGCCCAGAGATGCTAAGCAACTTGCCTAAAGCCACACAGCAAGTAAATAGCTTAGCTGGGATTTGAACCCAGGTCTCTAGAACTACAAAGAGCATGTGGTCTACCGCGCGAAATATGAAGCGTGCCCAGCATCAGTAATTGACCTCCAAGTGTCTGCACTCCTTTCCCCCCACAAGCAGGGAAGCCAGGATGCGTAAAGACTGAGTAATCCATCGAAAGGGAAGGAACGTTTGCCAGGAGCCTGGCTGCTGGCCCGCCAAGTGCACGATCCACCTGGGGCTTCGCCAGCGTGGGGCTGGGCCTGCCTGTGGCTTGCTCTCTGCTGACCTGCCATCCGCTCACTCCCAGCACACCTGTGTGCAATCGTGGCTGCCCTGGTTTCTTGTGGCGTGTCCCAGGACAGTGTTTTGCCTCTCCAAGACGGTTTCTGCATCTGTAAAGTGGGGGTGATGGTAACGACCTCACATAGAGCCTGTGGGCTGTGTTATTACTGTGGTCACCTAGATAAACGGAAATTAGTGAGGGCCCAGAGGCAGGTTCTGAAATGTGGTGGCCCAGCTTCTCCAGAGCTGGCTCCCACGGCCCGGAGAAGGCCGCCCACCTGCTGAGACTCTAGCCTATCCCCCCGCCTGCCAAGTGGAGGAATCACGCCCAACTTTACATTGGGCAAGGGGCAGCGTGCCTCATTCAACTGGTCTTTCCTGCCACCCGCTGCATGCCAGGACTGAGGCTACAGGCATCAGGGAGAACCAGGGCCCTCGAGCTCAGTGTCACAACCAAAAATGTCTGCAGACGTTGACACATGTCCCCCTGGGGGAAAGAGCCCATCGCTTTAGATCAGTCTGACATGTGGTGTTCCAGGTACACAGTGGGGAGCAGGAGGGACGGAAGCCCGTGGAGCAGGTAATGAAGGACCAGGAACACTGAAGTGAGAATTTGAGGATGGTACCCTGTGGGGCTGCCCGAAAGGGTTTCTGCAGGGAAAGGACCTGGTCACAACTCTGGGGACAGTAGCTCAGGTGCAGTGTGGAGGACAGAGTACAGTGATTAAGAGAAGAGAGGGGACACCAACTGAGGGCCCTGCGCTCTCCCCTCCTGAAGCAGGCGCCAGTCCCCCAGCACTGAGCCAGGGCACCAGAGGCTGGGTTTGCCCTGGGGGATGGTCCCCGGCACCTCGGGGAGGAGCTGTCTACAGATGAAGGCATCTGTGTTTGAAGAAAGACTCTCTGGGAGGGGAGTGGGGGGCTGTCTCATTATCAAAGGTGGAGCGATGTGGAGGGAGAACTGGGGTGTCAGGTGCACCGGGGCTCAGCCCCAGCTCTTCCTCTCCATCTGGGCAGCTCAGACCAGTCACTCCAATGATCTGAGCCTCAGTTTCCCCTTCAGTGATATGGGTTCACTAGCACCCACCGCATGGGGCTGCAGGGAAGATGAGCCGAAACAGCGGCTGCGAGTGCCCCGCATGGCCCGTTCCCGGCCCAGCACAAGGGCATGTCCTCTCCATGTGGCCTCCAAACGTTCCCCCTGAAACTCGATTCCATACCAGAGAGCGCTCAGTGAACAAATCTAAAGACAGTCGTCAGGAGCACCCTCGTTCCGGCCAAGCACACTCTGCATTTTACTTTCACAAAGAAGAAACACTGTGACTGAACACCGGGGCCAGATGGGCTTCTGTCCCACAGCCATGTTAGCTTCACTCGTTTACCATCTATATGACCGGAGCCTCGTCAAAGGGCTGACAACTGGGTCCGGACCCGCTTCGCCTTCCCTGGGCCCTGTGGGGGGGGGGGGTCCCGATGGTGTCAGCCCCACCTCACACATGAGGCTGGACAGCACAAGAAACCTGCTCTGTGTCATTGACCAAGGGAGGCTGGGAAGCGGGGGAGTGGTCAGTGATGGTCATTAGGCATGTGCAAGGCCCCTTTGGCTGTGGAGCGGAACTCACTCTTAATACATCTGTTCTAATGTCAGAGGGAAAGCTTGGTTGCTCTTGTAAAGATTATAAAAGCTAAATACCAGCACAGAAAACTGCTAATTCAACATCCCGCTCAGAAAAGACAGAGGCCTAAGCAGAACAACTCGCGTGAGTTGCGTTGGGGGCTGGCGACTCAACTTGAGCTTGAGCCCCGGTCTGTGGATGCCCAGGCCAGCTGGCTCCTTGTTCCTGCCATGGTGGAAGCTTCTAGAACAACCGTGCCTGGGTTCTAGGTCCTCCAGACATTGCTGAAATGCTTGCCAACTCTGTGCTTTAGGAAGATACTTTACCACTCGGTGCCTGAGTTTCATCATCTTTAAAAACTGGATTAAAATAGCAACTTCCTTGTGGGCTCTAATAACTGTTAAAAATGGCCATTCCTATTCTCTTACAGTTAGTTTTGTCCCAGGCACTTTAGACATGAAGCCACTTCTATGGTTCTGACCATTGGGAGGTAGGTGTGATCACCCCCATTTCACAGAAGAGAAACCCGAGGTCCACCCGGTAAGAAGACTTTGTCATGAACATCAGAAGGAAGCTGTGTGATGTGGCCCTGTAGGGTTGTGTTCCTTTGGGATTCACATCTTTCCGGATGCATTGGTTTCCCTTTCCAGGCAGGGCCCCATTTGTCCTTCAGAATTGGGGACAGCTTTGTGGTCCATCTGCACTAGGTGCTCAGTGGTTATTGGGTCTGTCTCCTCTCTCAAGGAGAGAAGAAAGCCCATGAAGGCAGGAGGATGGAGTGGGATGGGGGCATAAACAGGGACAGAGGTAGGAGTATCTCTGCATGACTTGCAGGTGTGCAGACAGTTGGGGGAGAGGTGACCTCACCACGGTCACCTTGGCACACCTCGCAAGGACATGCAGGTCTCTGAGGCAGCAGGTGTTGGCTGAAGGGTAAAATTTTTCCTGAAGCCTCACAAAACCTCAAGAGACTATCTCCCCTTCTCCCCAACTTTTATTATATCTGGGCTCAAATTCCAGCATCACCACACACTCCTTCCGTGAGCTTGGAAACTAACCAAACTTCTCTGATCTTTCACCTTATTACCTGTGAATGTGAGTGCATAATTCCAGCACCCAGGGGTAAGGAGTGTCTAGCACAGTGCTTCTCAGACTTGGCTGCACACAGGGGTCACCTGGAAAGACTTAATTAACTGTGATGCTCGGGTCCAACCTTCAGAGAGTCTCATTCGGTTGTTCTTGGGTGTGGCCTGGATTTCAGGATTTGCAAAGTCTCCCAGCTGATCCTAACATGCAAGTCAAAAATTGGGAACCTCTGCTCTGCCTGTACCAGACACCCAGTTAATGCTGTTCCCCCATATCACTTCAGTGTTAATTGCCTGCTCGAATTTAATTTTTGAAGGCTTTATCTGTTTCTCAGGACAGCTCAAGGTTTCTTTATTTCTGCCACCCCCGTGCACATTCTCACATTGACAAACTCTGCACTTTCAAAACAGATGACCCAACCCCCAGCCAATCAGCCAGGCCCTTTATCTAGCTCTGGCTCCTCTTCTGTTCATCGGAGAGAGCCAATTGGTTCAGACACACAATGCCCTCCTGAAGACACCAATGAGAGAATCAAACAGACAGGATGGTCCACTGTTCACTCCCTAGCCAGGGAGCTCCATAATTTGTCTCCAAATCTCTCTCTCTCAGTATGTAAAAGCTCACATGATAAATCCCCAGGTACACCAATGGCTCTTAAGTGGCAATGTTTTTCCCACCTGTGTCCATGCGCTAACCACCTCCCCACTCCCCCCACAGGTCTTTGTATAAATGCCCACCTCCTTTCCTCATGGACTACACCCATGCCGGGAGGTATCCCTTCAGCCCGGCATTCATTCCCAGCCACACCCCCCCAAAGACACTCTACGCTGGTCATGCTATTTCCCATGTGTGCCCTTTGCCTTAAATACCTCTTGCTCCCACGGTCTACCTGGAAGATTGGTACTCACCTTTACAAGCCAAATTCAAATGTCCTCTGCAGCTTGCCTCGCCTTTCCTCCCAGTCCCCTCCTGCTCACAGCAGAGTTTAGTTGTTCCCACACCTCTGCTCTCACAGCCTTTGGGGCACTCAGGAACAGCATTTGCCACGAGGCCCATCTTATGCCTTATGCTGGGTAGGGATTTTGTCATCTGTCTTTTTATAGCCAACTTCCAGCACAGGGACAGGGCCTTAGCAGGTGCTAACCAAATGCGTGTTGGGCTGCATCCAATTCTCCACCCTGAGACCTGTACCAGTTGATTTTTGAAATACCACCCCCCAAATAATCAAGACGGTTTTCTCCGTCACCATTTAGAAGCTTATTCGTATTTATCTGGCATGATAAAACTTTTAAAAGGAAGACACATGAACCAAAAAAAAAATGAATAAACACTTACCATAAATCTGACACAACACAGTGATGTCATGCCTCTGGAAGGAATAGCTGTTTTACAGGAAGGCAATGCATTTGGCTGATGCAGGGATGAAAGGGTTGGGGGTGGCATGTTCTGCCGCTTTATTTCCTGAGATGGGGGAGAGTGGAACTGACAAGAAGAGACCTGTTTTACCTTTTCCGGAGCGGGCAGCTGTAAGTGATTCACCTCCAAGGGGGTGATGAGAGGGACCGTCTGGAAGCCATCCTCCACCGAAGGTGGCTTGGGTCCCTTCTCGCTGGGGTTGCTGTTCAGCTTCACCATCCTTAGGCTTTTCTTCCCGACCTAGGCAAGCAGGGAGGTTTCAGTTACAGCCTGAGGGGAGGCAGGCAAAGAGAAAGCAGCGCTGCCCCCACCGCCGCCCCTCGGGCAGCTCTCAGTGTAGGGACCAGGCATGGATCTCCCGCTGGATCTCCTGACATGACTCCCTTCTCCGGAAAACTTCTGTAATCATCCCAACATGTCATCTGTCCACAGGGCTCAACAGTCCTCTAATCTGGGAAACTCACACAAAAATACACAGGCTTAAAAAATATGCAAGACACTAGAGCTTACATGGGCATAGCATCTCAGGGAAGAGCTTACTCCCAACACACAGTTAAATCCTTTTATTCTGGGTCGCCCTGCGGTATGGAAGATCTCACCTTACCACCATGGTTGCTATTTGAGTCTATTGGTTTTCCTTCAGCAAACCTCCCTAAAGCATAACAAATAACACTCACCGCCTTGACAGGCAGTGTGCCCTTTTACATAATACATAGCTTGTACAGGAGACACAATTTCACCAAACAACCCCAAAAAGGACAGGCTTAAACCCGAACCTGTTATTCAGCCATGGTATAGCTCCATTTCCTCAATAGCGGAGGGCCATTTTTTTTTTCCTTCCATGGAAAGTTAGCAAGCCCCGTATTGCAAGACTGCCAACTACACAAACACATCACATCTATTCCTCTCCAGCTCCCTCAGAACGGTGCTGGCGCCCCACCCCCAGAAGCCCCGCACAACTGAATGTCTCTTGTCAATCCGGCTGATGGAACGTTATTAGCAGAAACAGGGCTGTCGCGGGGGTGAAAGGGATGGTGGAGGGCTGCAGGGTATTGGGGAGTGGTGATCGCGAAAACAAATGCCTACTTACTGCGTCGCACTCTTGGGAATCAGAGCAGATTCAAGCCAATTTGGAGAGGAGGAGGACGGCCAAAAATCCTCCCTCCTCGGCCGGCTCCTGGTGCTGAAAGGACAGCGCCTCGCGAGCGTCTAGATTGCGAGCTTCTGAGAGCGGAGGCGCCCGCGAGCGAGCAGGGCTGAGCTCCCGGCAGCGGCCCGCCTGCTCGCCGGCTCGCTCGCGCCCCCTCCCACCGAGGACGGGCTCCCGCACCATCTGTCATCTGGCACCACCTGCTGTTTCTCATGCATGGCCACAACCCGCACGGGACAGAATGGTTTCAAGAAAGTGGGAGGGATTCTGGCCACAAGCACACACAAAATGTAACACGTCGTATAACAATCCTTGAGCCTTTAGAAAAACTGGAAAAGCAAAGCACCTTTTACTGGGAAAAGGCACCGCCTCTGAAGGTCTCCCAGAGCAATAACACTGTGAAACACAGTGGTTCGGGCCCTGCGCCGGGCTCTGACCTGGAGAAACGAGGACAGGGGAGCTAATGTTTATTATCTTCCGTGCAGGGGGTGGGGTATTCCTCCGGGCCCTTTGAGACGAGTTCCCTCGTCTGCAAAACGCGGTTTCCAACAGTGCATACGAGGCAGGGTTGGTGTGAGATGGGAATGTGATAACCTGGGAGAGCATTTAGCTCCGAGCAAGCTGCGCATGGACATCCACTGCCGTCCCCACGATGCCGCTGTGATCGCACGGGTCACATAAGGTCACGGAGCTGAGAGGGCAGCAGAAACTGGGATTTGAGCCCTGATCCAGTGCCACGCGCTCCAAGTGGACAAAATCGTTTCTTGGAAGAAAGGAAGGGAGCATTTCCAAAAGGTGGAAGGGAGCGCTGGGTTCTCCAAACCACAGATATCTAGGTACTGCCTTACCGTGCAGAACAGGGTCAAGTCCATGGGTTTTCCTCCTGACCCTAGTGGCACAGCCTTAAGTGAATTCCTCATTGTAAACTGAGGATACTATCGGGTTGTTAGAAGGATTAGATGCATTACTATACATAAAAGTGCTTAGAACATCTGTAAGTGTGAAACAAGTGTCCACTATTATTCGATTATTAGATAAGCATTTTAAAAAATCATCTTTCATGAGTCATTTTTTAGTTTTCTAATTTATACTTTAAAAATTATTTTCTTCCTCATTTCCTCAAGTTTATTCCATTTTTTTCTTTTGAACTTTCTGGGACAAATATCTAATTTACTGATTTGCCTTCTTCCTGTTTGATACTGAAAGAAATTAATGCTATTAATTCAATTTACCTCTGAAATAGTGCTGCTTTTTTATTATTATTATCATTCCTCGGTTATTTTAGAACCAAAGATTTGCTTCTCTGACTTAAGTCATCCAGTAAAATAAGATTTTTTCATTTTAATTTCTAAATGCCTGGATTTCATTGTTGCTAATTTGTATCTTTTGAGACCAGTTTCTGGTTTTATTGCATGAGATCCAAGAGTGCTTCCTGCACATTTTCTGCTGTGGGGAGCATATTAAATTGTCTTCGTGGCCTAAGACATGATTTATTTCTGTTCAGATTCTCTGAGCAGGAAGAAATTGTCTTCTATATAAATATAGATTTTTATACACAACTATTAAATCAACTCTGTTACTTACCTCATTAATTTTCTTTTACTGGCTGGATCGGCCGAGAAATTAAAGAGGAATATTGTTACTTTCCATTACTACTGTGATATTTCTTCTTGCATTAAAGCTATGTTATCTGGTACATATGTTCATGAAGTCACATCTTGTGAATTTTTTAATTTTATTTTTTTATTGATTATGCCATTATGGTTGTTCTATTCCCCCCTTCATTCCCCTCCACCCCTCACCCCCCACCATTCCCCCCCCCTTTAGTTTATGACCATGTGTCTCAAGTTCTTTAGATTCTATATTTCCCATACTATTCTTGCCCCCCATCTATTTTCTATCTACCATCTATGCTACTTATTTTCTGTTGACCTTCTCCCCCCTTCTCCTCCTCCTCCCACTCCCCTGTTGCTAACCCTCCTTGAGATCTTCATTTCTATGTTTCCACTCCTGATCTAGCTGTCCTTTTAGTTTGCTTTTGTTTTAGGTGTGGTTTGCTGTCCTTTCAGTGTTCATGTTTTTTTAACTTCTTTTTCTTAGGGATGTAAAATAGTTTATTTGTCTCGTTTAGTTTTTGTGACTTGAAGTCCTCTCTATCTAAAGTACAGTTGAAAACCGTTCTTCCCAGCCTTTTATAATTAACTCTGACAATGACATACAATGTCTTCTACTTGACATAATTTTTGTGATTTCTTTCATTGTTTCCTACATAAAGGTTTTTTTCTCCAGTTATTTGGAAAGAACGCATATGTTTTAAAATTATGTCTCTGGTGATTTTTTTAATATGTCGAAACGTATTTGAATTGACATTCACCCCTCAGCCTTAAGAATAAACCAAATTCTTTTGAGCTCCTCCCACGGAAAATGAGATAATTCAGACACATGGCGTGTCTTCCTGTTGGTGTGTCTCATTTCTCATGTTCTCATCGGATGTCAAAGCTAAGTCTTTGGTTTCACTGTTGCATCTTTCCCCGTTTATTCCCATTTCTGAGACTCCCATCAGCACTCAAAGCAGGAGAAAAGTGAATACAATGTGAATCTTTTTCCAAATGCCTCAGACGATGCTTCATGTGGAAATGATATTTTACATCCATAAATTTCAATGAATCGGTGACATTGGTTCATTGTGATTGGTTCATTGCAGTTGGTTCATTACCTTACGAGTTTTGTTTTGTTTCGTTTCCTGTATAGACACATCACCAATGAAAGAGATGATAAAAGCACTTTAAATGTCTCATTATAAATCTTGTTAAGTTGTCAGCTTATGAACATTATTCCAAATGTAATGGTGTGATAGGAATGTAAGCTTTTTAGAAACTTAAGAATCTCCCAGAGGCAAGCATAAAAAAAAAAACGAACTACGCTCAGACTCTGGCTAGGAGCTCTACATTTAAATTTCAAATAACAGTCAGAAAAGCTATGAAAAGCAAGAGATTCTCTTCCCTCTTAAAAAGGAAATGGGTCATTGCCTACTTTTGATTTAAAAGGAAAAAAAAAAAAAAGGTTGAAGGAGAGGCAGAAAGGCCAGCTCAGACTTCTGCAATCGGCTGGAAAGAGTTGAGGAAGGTAACTGCAGATCAAGAAGGCTAGCACTGCTTAGAACCAGCAGAATGACTTACCTAGAACCCTTCCAGGGAAAGCCGGGGAATCCATTTAGAAAGCAATAAATTTGATGAGAAGAAAGGCTTTTTGAGAAAGCTTTTGAATTTCATCTGGAAACGTATGTCTTTAGAAGGAAGACATTCCAGGAGACTCTTTCCTGTTAAACGATCCATTCATCTGACTCTTCTAACACAAGGCTGCCCAGCCTGTGTTGTAAAATAAGTCACAACTCAGTGGGAAGTTTGGGAGTTAGAGAGCTTTGAACGCAGGACATTTTTACTAGCGAGAAGGGAAGAAGGGAAGCAAAGAAAGCAGACTTGGTCAGACAGTGAACTTGAGCTCAACCAAGTCTCAGCAATGCCCTCAGCCAGTCTCCCGAGGGCCTCTGCAACTAAAAAGGCCCTTTTTAGCTGTCCTTGGCTGAGATGTGGGAGGGTGCCCTTCTTCAAAAGTTCAAGACCTTGGGCAGGGCGGCTCTCTCCACCCGAGGGCAATTTGTGGACCAGGCTAATAGCCAAAGCTGTCAGCCGACAGCTAAGGGACAAAGACATTCGGTCCTGACAGGACATCTACCTGGGCAGCACAGTGTCCGTCGTGGCTCTGTCCTCTTCTGTATTCACGCCACACTTGACAATCACACCCCATGCCTTCAGATGCCATCCATATGCCTGTAACTGCTAAGTTTTCTCTCCGGCAGAGAGATTTCTTCTCCACTCAGATCTTGAAATACAACCATTCCCTGGACACCTTCATTTGGATGGTTCAGAAGCACTTACCTGAATTCTCCACTTGTCCAAATCTACATTCCTGGGCTCTGCCCAGAATCTGCTCCGCCTCCTGCGTGGCCCCACCAGAGAGCTGCCCCATCATGCACCCATCGCTCCAGCCAGAAAACTGAAAGTCCTTGACTTCTCCCTCACTCCTGCACCCGATCTCCAAGCCCTGACTCTTCCCCCTCCCAAATCTCTCTCGAGTCACTCCTCTCCGGCCCCCATGACTCCTCCTCGGTCCCCTCTACCTCCCTAGCTAGCATGTCTCCTGACAGCTGGGTTTTTCTCCCCACCAACCTATCTTTTATACTGTAGTCCGACCAATTCTGGTAACCGGACTTCCTATCCTAGAACTTCCCAGAGGCTTTTTAAAAGAGAAAGACCAAAATCTTAAACCTCAGCTGTAAGGCTCTATGATCTGTCCCCTCCTGACCCAACAAATGTCTCTTCCTGCCTTGTCACTTGTCCCCTTCCCCTGACCTCAAACACACCTCCCCAATCCAGAGATTGTCACATGACATTTCCTCTGTGGTGCACCCCCTTTCAGGGGGTGCTCTTTCTGCTCCTTTAATTGCTTAGGATTCTGCAGAGCCCCTGAAATATGACTTCCTCAGACAAGCTTCCCCCAAGACCCCAGACTATGGATGTATATGCTCCATGTTCTGTTCTTCTATGTTGAAATACCTACCATTTTTTTAAATGACAAGATCATTTGTGCTGTTGTGGTTGAATAAGAATCGAGACTGAGTTCTTGTGACCTGAATATTAACAACCAGGCGGTGGATGGGTAAATTTTGGTTCATCCCATACGATGAAGTATCATCCAGTCATTAAAATTGTCATAGAACACCGTGTCAATATGGGGAATGTGTATCATGTTGAGTGAAAAGAGGAATCAAATTGTATAGACATCTCAACTATGTGAAAATGTGAAGACGTAAAGATACTAAAATGTTTATAAGATTTTTTTCCTGGAGATTTTAATCTTTTCTTAGTATTTTTTTCTCATCTCCCCAAAACATTATTTATTTTTAAACTAATGAGAGAAAACATGAGTAATTTTCTACTAGAGGAAAAAATCCACTGGGTTCTAGAAAACATACTTATTTTTCTAAAAAAGAAAAAGAAATAGTGAATTTGTAAGAGATTAGTAAGGCACG